AACAGATATGGGGAGCAGCCTCGGACAGGAAAGCAAGCTTGTGCTGACGGTCCTGCAGGACGTCACTGCCGAGGGCAGGAGCACCCCCGACAGACGGAGGACAGGCAGGGTCAGAGACCAGAGCTGTGGCGTCATCAAGGCGGCGGGTAGAGGCGAAGTCAGCGACTGCAGCGACAAGAGCATCAAGACACGAAACCGGAACACACGGGTCGGTAACGAGAGAGGCAAGGACCCGAGGAACAAGAGGACGAGCGGCACGCACGTAGTCAGACAGAGGGGGGGGCGCAACAACAAGGGAGGACGGAGGAGGCGACAGGAGAAGGGGAGGACGAGACGGGTGGGAACGAAGCAACATAGGGTGAGAGCACAAGACAGGGGAGACGGGGCGAGCACGAGAGGGACGGCGAGACCAGACGTGAGACGGAGGCGTCGGCTCAGGAGACATAGGAGGGGACACAAGAGGGGAACGAGGGGGGAAACGAGCCGGAGACCAGTCCGGAGGAGGGAACACAGGGCCGTAGACAGGAGGAGGAGGAGGCACAGACGCGGGGTCAGGGGACGGAATGCCTAGCAGGCGAAGAGCTGACACCGGCGGGGACTGCTGCTGTGGCAGTGCGACACCGACACCGGGACCGCAAGCTGCCGGACGGCTACCTCCATAACACTCCACTCCAGCACCCCTTGAAGGAATAGCCCCAGAGCTCTGAACCCCTCGAGCACCGATACCACCCCCAGGCCCGCCGGGACAAGCCACGATAGGAGTCCCAGAACTTGTACCCTCCCCAACTCCAGCACCCCCAGAGTCAACGAACTGCTGCGGCGACGGCTGTGGCGGTGGCGGCTGCATCGGAGGCTGCGGCGGTGGCGGCTGCATCGGAGGCTGCGGCGGTGGTGGCAGCGGTGACGACGGCTGCGACAGCGGTGGCGACGGTGGTTGCGGAGGCGGCGGAGGAGGAGACACCTGAGGAGGGGCAGGCGGCGAGGACTGCGCCGCAGGACCACCAGAGTCAGCAGACTCCTCAACCGGGACAACCGACGAAAGGGGGGTGACGTGGGACACACCAGAGGGGGCAGGACGGGGAGAGGGAGGGGGAGGGGCAGGGACTACCGAAGAAGGGGTGACCAGGAACAGGGGGGGGGTAACCGGGGGAAGCGACGCTAGAAGGAGATGGACTGGTCAAAGGTGACGTCGCAGGAGTGAACGAACCGGTGAGACGGCGGGTGGTAGAAGTGCCAGACAGACGCATCAAGGGGGAAACCGAGGAATTCACAGGGAAGGGTGTGGGCAGTGAGCTTGTCTGTGCCAGAGGCACGAACGTGAGCAAGGCAGCCCTAGACGTGAAACGCAGATGCGTCACCAGGTGACCCAGACCAAAGAAGGGTTGGCGAAACCTACAACTACTGGGGGTGCGGCCAGAGGTTAAGCTGGTGAACGGCGTAGCGAACAGCGAACGGCCACAGAAAATGGGGGGCACCGGCATGGATCATGGAGGTTCGAGCCACCTCCATGACCAAACCGATGCGTCGCTCAGCGACCCCATTCTGCTGCGGGGAGTCCGGCAAGGTGAACGTCTGGGTGATGCCCTCCGCACAATAGAAACGACCAAGGACACCAGAGGCAAACTCGCCACCACGGTTGGAGTGGAGACGCAAGACAGGGAGACCGCGGTGGACACGCGCAGAGACAAGCCACGGGATGAGAACGTCAGGCACGTCGGCCTTCCGCTCCAGGGGGAACACAGTGGTGTAGCGCGTGTAGTCGTCGACAAGCACTAGGAAGTAGCGCTCTCGACGCGGCCCATGGACGGGGGCGGGGCCCCAGACGTCCATGTGCAGAGTCTGTAGCGGTGCGGCAGTAGGGGGAAATGAGGAGGAGTGAGGGACACGGCGGAGCCGGCCCTCGACACAGGGCGTGCAAGGTGGTGCTGGGGAAGAGGGAAACTCGGGGAACGACCCGGGGAGGCCTAGGACGAGACCCTGATGTGACATGTGACGCAGACGCGGGAGCGCAGGGTGACCTAGGCGGTGGTGCCAAAGGAGGTTCGGGTGAGTGATTGACCGAGAGGAGCAGGCAGCAGCAACCTGAGTAGACGCAGCCACCTGAGGGGGCGTCCCAGCCGGGGAAGTCACAGTGTCCAATGTGAAAAGGCCGGACACCGGGTCCCGTGGGAACGTGATAAGGGGGGCACCAGTGGCGGCCTCGGTACAGACAGCGTATCGCTCGTGACCAGGGAACGTAGTGGTAACGCCAAGGTCCTGGAGGCAGCCAACACCAACTAGGTTCCTGGAGAACGAGGGGATGTGCAGACCTGTGAGAGAGCCCGAAGGAACCGCCGGACAGGGAAGGGTGGTGGAACTGCGGGCGATTACCGTGCCGGAGGAGGGGTCAGCAAGAGAAACTGCAGCAGGAATAGGAAGCGGCGTCAGCATGGTGGAGTCACGGAAGAAACACCGGGAAGCGCCAGAGTCCAAATTGAAGGAAAGCACGGCAGTGGCGGCCGGAGTCGAAGCAGCGACGGAAGCACCAAGGCTAAAGAAATCAGGGGATCCTACGCCTGACGCAGCAGGGGAGTCTAAGCTAGGCACACCTACACTAGGCAACAAGGGGTAATAAGAAGGAAGCACACTAGAGTCATCAGCACACATCACATACAAGGCAGTAACAATCTCATCCATGTCCATATCAAAGATCGGGACGCTACGATGAAGCAAGCTGTGCCAGTCTGGGAGCTCGGGCGACGGGCCGAAGCGCTGACGAAACAGGTCGTCCAGGCGACGGAAACAGCGAACAGAGGTGTGACCGATCTTACCGCAAACGAAGCCACGGCGAGGACCGGTCTGGAGCAGGTACTGATAGTGCGCGTCACCCGAACCACCACCCGGCAGCCCACCACACGCACGACCACCACGTCCAGCACCACCACCAGCGCCAGGCCACTCGGGCGGGAGACCACTCGCCCGCCTCGGCTGCTGCGGCTGCTGTGGCGGCTACGGCTGGTGGGAGGACTGCTGCAGCGACTGGCGCGCGTCCGGCTGCAACACCTGCGGCTGCTGAGACGGCTGCTCGGCTGCACCTGTCAGGGTCCCCTCGTCCGCGCCACCACCAGGTAACCCAACTCCACCACCACCTACACCTGAACCCCCACCCCCTCCGCCACGTCCAGCCTTGGGGCAGTGACCCTTCCCCGAACGGACAAGTGCTGCAGCGGCTGTCTCAGCCACAGCAGTAGAACCGTCGGAGAAGGTGCACTGAGCGGGGGCACAACCCTGAAAGATAGGGACCGGCACAGCTCCGCTGGTCTGGGCGATAGAGCGGTGGCAGGCCTCTATGGCGGACAGGGTGTCAACAAAGTCAGTGAGGGTGAGGTCTCTGGGGTGGACGCTAAGGAAGCGGTCGCGGGCAGAGGCAAGGCAGTCAGGGAGGCGGGTGGCCAGCAGGTAGAGAGCAGAGCAGAGGGGCGGCTAGTGAGCGCGAAGCTGTGTGTCAGTGCAGGCAGCGCGCCAGGTCTCGTCTATAGTGCGCAGGTGGGCGGCCAGATCAGCGACTGTGGGAAACGACGCAAGGTCAGGGAAGAGCATGGGGAGGATCAGGCGACCTACCGAGGCAGCAGTGTAGCGGAGGTTGGCCAGCCACGCCTCAAACTCAATCGGCTGGCCCTCAGCATCAAAGCGAAGCACCTCCGCCATCAGGAACGATGCAGGACGGTGTAGAGCGGTGCAGTGCGGTGTAGTGCGATGCAGTGCGGTGCAGTGCGGTACAGCGCGGTGCAGTGCAGTGTAGCGCGGTGCAGTGCAGTGCAGAGCGGTGCAAAGCGGTACAGTGTGATGCAAAGCGGTGCAGAGCGGTACACTGCGGAGCAAAGCGGTGCAGTGCGGTACCAGGGGGGTTGGAGGGCAGTGCTGGTCGGGAAGAACGGGCCGGGCACGAGTCGGCGGCGGGCCGGCGGCGAAGCGAATGAGGGGCCGGCGGCGACGGTGGACGCTAGGGACCGGCCGGCGGGCGGTGGACGCGAGGGGCCGGCGACGTCGGCGGACGCTAGGGGCCGGCTGGCGGACGGCGGACACGAGGGGCCGGCGGACGGCAGACGCGAGGGGCCGGCAAGGGGCGGGCACGGGGCCGACGAGGGGCGGGCACGAGGGGCCGGTAAGGAGCGGGCACGAAGTGGGCCGAGGAGCCGGCTAGGAGAGGGTGCGACGGCTCAGGGGAGGAACAGCCAGGATGGGCCCGGCGGCGAGAAGGGGCCGGCTAGGGGCAGGCGCGACGGCGAGCAAGGCTGGTTAGGACGGGTGCGACGGCTCACGGGGCCGGCTAGGGACGTACTCAACGGCGCAGGGGGCCGGGGAGGACGATCGCGACGGCTGCTAGGAATGGCCGCGACGACTAGGAACGGCCGCGACGGCGGCTAAGGACGACCGCTACGGCTAGGAATGGCCGCGAGAACGGCTAGGAACGATCGCGACGACGGCTAGGAGCGTTTGCGACGGCTAGGAATGGCCGCGACGGCGGCTAGGAACGGTCGCGACGGCTAGGAAAGACCGCGACTGCGGCTAGGAACGGCCGCGACGGCGGCTAGGAACAGTCGCGACGGCTAGGAATGACCACGACAGCGGCTAGGAACGTTCGCGACGGCTAGGAACAGCCGTGAGACGGCGGCTAGGGACGGCCGCGACGGCTGCTAGGGACGGCCGCGAGACGAGTAGGGACAGCCGCGACGGCTAGGAACGGTCGCGACAGCGTCTAGGAACAGCCGCGACGGCGGCTGGGAACGGGCGAGACGGCAGCTAGGGACGGGCGCGACGGCTAGGGGCGGGCGTGAGGGCGGCTAGGGCCTAGGGCGGAAGCGTGTGCGGGCTAGATGGGGGGCCAAACCTACTATGATACCATATCAAAATGAGTAGTAGTTGAGTATAATAGAAGGATACAGGGGTATATAGACTAGGATTTGTACCCTCTAAGGCACAATCAAGTATAGTTTACAGTAACTACATAAGTTACATTTGACACCCGTAACCATGTATTTCTCAACGTCGCTACGGCAGCACAGAGTTTCGTGAAATTTCCCACTGCACTGGCCGAGTAAAAGCTTCGTAACATTAAAAAACCCTGGCAAATCAGAGAAACTGTTGGGGACCACTCTGAATTCCAGAGTAAAACAAAATGCCACTCCCCAATATCAGAGTAGTAAAAACCCAAAAGTAGGCCCTGTTCACAAGCTAATGTTCAGCAGTAGGTGGTATTACCGGTACCGTAGTTTTGGCATGCATCAGTAAACTACTCTGGAAACGCATGCTATTGTCCCGTTCTGCGGCCGCTGCTTGCGATGTTGCTGTTGCTGGTGCTTGTTCCGGTGTTGCTTCAGCTGCTGGTGCTGGTGCTGCTTCTGCTTCTGCTTCTGCTGCTGCCGCTGTTCTTGCTGTTCTTGCTGTTCTTGCTTGCACTGCTCCACATCTCCACTCCACTCCACCCTGTCAGAACTCAGTCACTAACCACTGAGCTAAAAGGGCTTGTTAAGTAGCGGGTATGTGCGCCCATAACTCCCTAGGCAGAGAGATGGCCTGTAGCCCTTCCCTGATGATCAAGGGCAACCCCAGCGTGTCTCTTGACACACCCTCCATTAGCAGTGACCTTGCTGCATTGATTATGAGTCCAAATTGGCTTCTGGCTTAAGAATGTGATTATGACATCACCTTCTTGCTTTGGTCACTTCCCCTCTCTGCTTCTGCTGCTGCTTCTACGGCTGCTGCTGCTGCATTTTCTGTTGCTTGTGCTGCTGGTTCTGCTGCTGCTCCACACATCCACACTACAGCAGCAGGGACCTTGCTGCACTGTCTTTGTGCCTTTATCAACTCCTCCCTTTGGTTGCCTTAACCTTCTCTCCTGCTGCCTCTGTTGCTGCTTCTGCTGCTGCTGCTCCTCCACTTACCCACAATCCACCAATAATCGCCATGAAATCACCTTCTCCCTTTGGCTGTCTTCCCTCTCTGCTGCTGCTTCTGCTGCTGCTGCTCTTTCTGCTGCTGCTCCACATATCCACACTCCACCAGCAGTGACCTCGCTGCATTGTTTATGTGTCTAAACCGATCAGGACCCAGCAGCACTCCTCCAAACCACCTCGAAACCACCACCACCTGACGAGGGAAAGGATGGAAAGGAGAGGTTCTCGATTTCTGCACATTTCGGGCTGCCCGGCATCACCCCCAGAAACTTCCAAACCAAAACTTCCGAAGTCCACTTCAGGGTTGGCACTTTGAACACTGACATTCAATCTACAGTCCTTCGCTTCGGACAGCCACGTTCGCCAGCCCTAGTACGCCAGCCCTGACATGTGTGGGCGTTAACTCCCGATCTACTTCTAAGTTCTAACACCCTCTAGGATAACAATTTTTGGTGCTGGTTCTGCTCCTGCTGCTGCTGTTGCTTGTTCTGCTCCACGCACGGGAGGTCTCAACTTGGAATCAACCTGAGCTCAACGTGAACTCAACATAGAATCAACCTGAGCCCAACGCAAACTAAAGATGACCCAATAATTACCACATTCGCCGCACGCACTACCTGCAGCACTTTGCATCCATATCCGAGCACGACCCAATCGCTCACCACATCTTCTGCACGCACCATCTGCAGCAGATGCATCATGCAGCCTCCTGCTGCTGTCTCCCCTCTCCCAGTGCTGCCGTGCACACATCATCCTCACTCCCCACATTCACCGCATGCACTATCTGCAGCATTTCGCATCCATATTCGACCATGACCCAATTGCTCACCACGTTTTCTGCACCCACTATCTGCAGCAGATGCATCACCCTTCCTCCTGCTGCTGTCTCCCCGTCATCGTCGTTATCTTGAATGACCTGCGGCTCACAAAGAGAACGAAGAAGAATGCATCAAATCAAAGACAATGGGCGTTTGGTATCATATGGCCAGGTCAGAGGAACTGCTGCTGTCTCCCTGTCATCGTCGTTATCTTGAATGACCTGCGAGAAACGGCAAGCGAGGAGCAAGGAGTGCAAAGAATGGCGGGGGATGACAATGGTAGAGCCGGAGGTGACTTCACAAGTGAGGGGAGAGAACGGGAGGGGAGAGAACGGGAGGGGAGAGAACAGGAGGGGAGAGAACTGGAGGGGAGAGAACGAGAGGGGAGAGAACGAGAGGGGAGAGAACGAGAGGGGAGAGAACGAGAGGGGAGAGAACGAGAGGGGAGAGAACGAGAGGGGAGAGAACGAGAGGGGAGAGAACGGGAGGGGAGAGAACGAGAGGGGAGAGAACGGAAGGGGAGAGAATAGGAGGAGAGAGAAAGTTAATCGGAGGGGAGAGAACTGGAGGGGTGTCTACACAAGTGGGTGGGAGACAGTGGAGTGCAGAAAGCGGAGTTGTTGAGGAATGAGATCCCAAGGGAAGAGAGCAAGTGAAAGGATTTTTTTTTTGCAAGTGTAACAAGAATGATGGAAAAAAGTGACAAATCTAACGCACAGGCACAGGATTAGGATTAGGATGCACACGCAGTAAAACTGCAGCTGAAATCATGGGCTGGTTTTGAGGTGCCTAAAAAAAGTGAAATCATAGCCTGTTGCTGGAAGTCAAATGCAAAAAAAAAGACCATGAGACCACGAGACCACGAGACCACGAGACCACGAGAGCACGAGAGCACGAGAGCACGAGAGCACGAGAGCACGAGAGCATGAGAGCACGAGAGCACGAGAGCACGAGAGCACGAGAGCACGAGAGCACGAGAGCACGAGACCATGAGACCACGAGACCACGAGACCACGAGACCACGAGACCACGAGACCACGAGACCACGAGACCACGAGACCACGAGACCACGAGACCACGAGACCACGAGACCATGAGACCACGAGACCACCAGACAATGAAGAAGTTAATTCTGATCTGAATCATTTCAGGTATCAACTCAAGCAGAACTACCGACAACTCATGAGAGAATGGAAAAATCTTATGAATTTATTCAGAATTAATGAACACAATTGATTGACACCTCAACCTTGAAGCCTGAACACAATGTTAAATTTGAGCACCTCCTTCACTCACAGTGGTCTTTAACTCGCCAGTACACCTTATGCTGCCGAACCTTCACTCACAGTGCTGCCGCCTGCGCCAGGTGTCACGATCCTGTAGGCCATGATGTTGTGCGTGGCGCCTGCTATCTTGCGATTGGCCAGAAGCACATCCATCACTGCTGCCACGTCAGCAGGCGATTTCACAGGAGCCAAGTGCGCCTGGAAGGTACCTGGAAGGTGGGAATGATGCATGAGGGATGAGGTGATGCAACTGTAACACAAATCAATCAATCCTTCCAGTGATATAGAGATAATAAAATCATGGGTCAGTGATGTAGTAAAGACTGTACAGTGCATATATAGAGGATTGTTATAATATAACAAGGGTGTTTGATTAAGTTTACTCAATCGCTGTGATGCGCCATCTTCCTCCTTTTATTCGCACCTTTACTATCCTTTCCGTTCTCTCGCATGCACTCACTCCGTTCTTCAGTGAACGGCACTCATGGCACGTGCCCTCTGGCACTCCATGCACGTCATAAGACAGCACTCTCCATGCTCCTCTGCTTGATGTCCCCACACAATCTCCACCTGCCTCCTTTTCACACGCACACACTCGCCCACACTTCGGCTCACTCACTTCTTTTCTTGGTGAACAGCCGTCCATGCACCCTGCCAGATGCCCTCTCCAGCTCCCCTACTAACATTACTCACATGTCACGCGTTCATACACTCCCTTCCTTTCCACCGACACTGACACAAACACTCACTCACTCACTCACTCACTCACTCGCTCACTCACCCACTCACCCACACTCACCCACACACTTCCACACACTTCCACACACTTCCACACACTCACTTCTCTTTTCAGTAAACGGTATCCCATGCACAATGCCAAGTGCCTTCTCCACCTCTTCTGCCTCCCTCCCCCTCCCCATCCACCCTTCCCCTCCCCCTCCCCCCCCACGACCACCTCCCACCCCCCACACACACTCTCACATGCACTCACTTCTCTTCTCAGTAAAGGGCGCGCCATGCACAACGCCAAGTGCCTTTCCCACCTGCTCTGCTTCCCACTATCACACAAAGACACACAGACACACACACAGACACACACACAGACACACAGACACACACACAGACACACTCTCGCTCCAACCCTTGCACGCACTCACTTCTCTTCTCAGTGAACGGCACGCCATGCACAATACCAAGTGCCTTTTCCAACTGCTCTGCTTCCACCTCCCCATCCACCCCTGCCTCCTCCCCTCTCCCTCTGCTCCTTTCATTCTTCACTACTTCTGCCCCTGCTGCCTCCCTCGTTGTGTCCTCCGTGCCTCCATCGCTGCTCCCTTGATTGCCCCCCTCCTGCTGGTCTGCAGGCAGCGGGGCGTGCTGCCACACCCACCCTTGCTCCTGCAGGCAACGCAACGCATAGATGAAGAGGGGAGAGAGGGAAGAGGGAGGGGGGAAGAGAGCAATGAGAGAGTGTGCTGGTGTGCTGGCAGTGGGGCGTGCTGCCACACCCACTCTGCCCCAGCAGGCATCCTTTTCGAGGCGCCTCAAAAGCCCACGCTGCTCCAGCAGGCATCCACACAATGCATAGAGGGGGGGATGGGAGTGCGGGGGGGGGGGGGGAAGCAGAGCAATATGGGAAGCAGCGAGGACGCCCCCTGCTTCCCATCTGGGAGGACACCTCAGAGCACAGAGGTGAATGGGGACGGGGGGAAAGAGCAATGCGAGAGTATGCCTCCGTCGCTGCTCACTTGCTTGCCCCCCCCCTACTGGTCTGCCGCCAGGGGTGCGTGCTGCCACACCCACTCTTGCTGCAGCACGCATCGAAGCACCGCGGAGGGGGGGAGGGCAGGGGGGTTGCGGGGGAGGGAAAGAGAGGGGGGTGGTGGGGGTGGGGGCGGTTGGGAAGGGAAAAAGAGAGCAATGCGAGACGCAAGGAGGAGGATGCAATGGGCGCAGGGGGGTGCATGGCTCCATCGCTGGCACGCCCACTCTTGCTCAATGCTCATGCACACACGGAAGGACAAAGGAGGGGGGGAGGAAGGTAGGCCCCATGGGATGGTGCATGGGATGGTGCGTGAAATGGTGCATGGGATGGTGCATGAGATGGTGCGTGAAATGGTGCACGGGATGGTGCATGGGATGGTGCATGGGATGGTGCATGGGATGGTGCATGGGATGGTGCATGGGATGGTGCATGGGATGGTGCACGGGATGGTGCATGGGATGGTGCATGGGATGGTGCATGGGATGGTGCACGGGATGGTGCATGGGATGGTGCATGGGATGGTGCATGGGATGGTGCATGGGATGGTGCATGGGATGGTGCATGGGATGGTGCACCCACCTTAAATCATTCCACCCACCTTAATCCATTGCTCTTGTGCTCAAGCGACTGACTTTGCACTGCTGCTCTTCCCAAGACCATACTCACCGCACCTTAATCCATTCCACCCATTCAAATACCACCACTTCTCCAAACACATGCCCCTCCCCATCTGCTTCTCCCTTTCCGTCTCCCCCTCCCCCTCCCCCTCCTCTCCCCGCCATTCCCTCCAGCTGGCAGCACAGCTTGCTCCTGGCGTCGTCCGGCAGCCAATCACAGCGTGCCAGTTCAGCAACGGGGCCGGAGTGGGAGGGGTAGGAGGCGGGGAGATGCACGAGGAGAGTGAGGGGGGGGGAGGAGCGGGTGTGACTGTCCATACATGTGACTGAATCAGGGTGTTGGATGGATACCTGTTATGCAAGGGGATAAGATAAGACGAAGGAAGGAGGGGAGGTGCAGGAGGAGAGTGAGGGAGGAGGGGAATAGTAGCGAGGTTTGTGCCGCTCACCCAGTGCTGCCCACTGCCCGTACTCCTGCCTGCATTCATACAAAGGACCGCTTGAGGGAGGGGGAGGAGTGGGTGACTGTCCATGGATGTGACTGGATTGGGGTGCTGGATGGATATCTGTTGGAGGAGGGAGGAGAAGGAGAAAGGAGGGGAGGTGCACGAGGAGAGTGAGGGAGGGAGGGAGGGAGGGAGGGAGGGAGGGAGGGAGGGAGGGAGGGAGAGGGGGGGGAAGAGACAGGGATGGGAGATGGTTGGGATGGGTTCAGGGTCATGGATGTTGAACCACTCCAACAGATCCACAGGTGGAAGGGAGAGTGTGACACGTCCAAAGGCTGCTGCATTCAGATCAAGCGGTAACGTTCCAAGAGGGCTTGAGCCGTAGGCCAGAGGAAGCACGGGTTGAGGGCTTTCGCAGGGGGATCTGCTCCAGGGTTTGGGACTTACGCTAAGGCCCGGAGGAATCATGGGCGCGATGGCTGCTGGGGCACCACGCTTGGGGTGGTAGAGGGGTTTAGGGCTTACGGCGCTGGGGCCTAGAGGATTCCGGACGATCCGGATCAATGAATCGGGAAGTGGCGCCTGATCTGCTCAAAAGTCGCCTCTGTTTGGGGCTTACGGCGCTAAGGCCGAGGGGAGCCCGGACGACCATGCGGAATGAATGAATCGGACAGGGGGCTCCATCTGCTCACTCTGCAGCAGTGCTCGGCGCTCGAGTACGAGAAGCAATCTGAGCCGTAGATCGCCTCGAGCGCCTCCATCTCCTCCATCTGCGCCTGTCGATTCGCCTCCTCGTCCGCCATGGCTTTAAACCCCTAGACCAGAGGCCTGTTCTTGAGCCGACGAACCCTCGACCAGGGGCTTTTCGCCTCGAGTGAGCGAAGAGTTGGCGAAAGCTAGCGAAGAGATGGCGAGAAGGTAGCGAAGAGATGGCAAAGAGATGGCGAAGCGACCAGACCACACCAAACGACACTCACGCATCAACCACGTGGCGATGACCACGTGGCGATGACCTGGGTCAGGAGGGTAATTACGACCTGACGTCTAAACACCTAATGTCTAAAACCTGGCATCTTCGACTTGACGTCAAATGAGACACCTTATGACGTTGCTCGCAGCAGCTGCTGCTGGCGCGCAATGCGAGGTCACTAAAGCGCGATAGCGCGTGTTACTCCCCTAAAGACACGTAAGCGGCGCGTGTGCGCGACAGCTTCTGGTTGGGCGAAAGGGACACGCGATATGAGGAATATCGCTAACTCCTGATGGACGAAATTGTTCAAACACTTGTTCAGCAAAGGGATGGGATTATGCAAACAAGGGTACAATAAGAATCAATAACACTTCCTTGCAACGGATGTAAACAAGGGTACAATAAGAATCAATAACACTTCCTTGTTCAGCAAAGGGTTGGGATTATGCAAACAAGGGTACAATAAGAATCAATAACACTTCCTTGCAACGGATGTAAACAAGGGTACAATAAGAATCAATAACACTTCCTTGTTCAGCAAAGGGATGGGATTATGCAAACAAGGGTACAATAAGAATCAATTGTTCAAACACTTGTTCAGCAAAGGGATGGGATTATGTTCAACACTTGTTCAGCAAAGAATCAATTGTTCAAACACTTGTTCAACAAGGGTACAATTGTTCAAACACTTGTTCAGCAAAGGGATGGGATTATGCAAACAAGGGTACAATAAGAATCAATAACACCGCTAAAGGGATGGGATTATGCAAACAAGGGTACAATAAGAATCAATAACACTTCCTTGCCTTCCCTTCACCCCTCCCCTCCGCGTCGCAATTCCCGCCGCTCGCGCCGGATTTGCCGCTGTTTAAGCAGGCAACAAGCCGGCTGGAGTCGCATAGGCGGCTCGTCCCTAAAATCTCTCCAGTCAGCCGGCAGTCGTGCCTTGGTTTTTTTTTTATTCTCATGAGCCAACTTACGCCATAGGCGGCTCGGTCCTGGAATCCCTCACTGCTGCCTTCATCATTGGTGTCTTCTGAGACGCGTATTGTCGACCCAATCACCTGAGAGTTATCCCTCACCTCTCACCTCTCACCTCTCACCTCTCACTCGCGCCCGATTGCTCGCCAGCTCTCACATGCGCTCCCGAGCCTCTCACGCTTCCTGTTGAATCACCTGAATGCGATTTGGTGAATCACCTGAATGCTATCCCTCGCCTCTCACTCGCGCCTCGTTGTTCGCCAGCTCGTCCCTCCTAGAACCATGAGTCTGCTGCTCGGCGCGCAGGCGCTGAACTATAATCCGTGCGGGGGACGCGGATCGCATGTATTTAAACCCGCAGAGGAGATTAAGCGCCGCGTGGTTCCTAGATCCGTCGTCCCGACCTCGATTTCCCGACCGAGGGATGTCGGTTGCTCGTTCCCGAGTCGCGAGATCAGAAGCGGTTGGGATAGGCGATACGTATCGAAGCAGGATGCAGCTGGGTCCCGTAAATCACGGAATGTTTTGCCACGTGGCGAGGCTGTGAGTGGTGGAGCCCGAGCTGCTGCTACTTCTGGTGGCGGTGATGAGGCCACGGAGCGACACGTGGCGGGCCCTGGAACGATGACACGTCAGCTCGACGCCCAGCAACCATTGGACACGTGTCAGGCGGCGGTTGGAGAGGGAGATTCGTCTGGTGGCGGGAAGCTCCGGAAGCGGCGTGTGGCGCTTTGGGTGGGATACGTGGGGACGGAGTTCAAAGGTAAGGCAGGGGTTAAAGGGTTAAGAGGGGTTTAAAGGGTTAAGAGGGGTTTAAAGGGTTAAGAGGGGTTTAATGGGTTAAGAGGGGCTTAAAGGGTTAAGAGGGAGAGGGAGTATCCAGCAAGTAGATAAGGAGATGAGGAGACTCAGAAGCGATGGTTGGTTGGCCCTCTGGGTGGGATACGTTGGAACGGAGTTCAAAGGTAAGACAGGGCGTTGAGGGTTAAGACGAGGTTTAAGGGTCTAGACGGGTTTCCTCTCCCCTGCCCAGCAAAATCTCCCTCACTCTTATCCGCCCGTTCTCCTCTATTCCAGCCGTGACTCTGAAGAGTGTGACAGTAATGACAGGGCCACGCCCTTCCCTTCCCATTTACCCCCCTATCCTTCCCATTCCCTCTCTCCCTCTCTCCCTCTCTCCCTCTCTCCCTCTCTCCCTCTCTCCCTCTCTCCCTCTCTCCCTCTCTCCCTCTCTCCCTCTCTCCCTCTCTCCCTCTCCCCAGGTCTTCAGATTCAGCGAGCAAGCCCGGTGCTCCCGCTAGAAGCCTCCGAGAGCGACTCTGAAGAGTGTGACAGTAGCGAAGGGGAGTCAAGCAGCAGTGGCTCTTCCAGCAGCAGTGATGGATCCGATGGCGTGCCAAGTGAGTGCAGTTCGTGCTTCAAACTGTGACTCTGAAGAGTGTGTGACAGTAGCGAAGGGGAGTCTGAGAGCAGCAGTCGTTCCAGCAGTGATGGAACCAGCTCCGTGCCGAGTGAGTGCTCCAGTTCTCCCTTCATGCATCAGACAACTACTCTGAAGAGTGTGACAATAGCGAAGGGGATCCTAGCAGCAACACAGGGCTACCTGCGCTTATGGAAACCGCCCCCTGTGCCGAGTGAGTGCTCTCTCCCTCCCTATATGCATCAAACAGTGACTCTGAAGAGTGTGACAATAGCAGAGGGGAGCTTAGGGCTAAGAGTGGGACAATAACGAAGGGGACTCAAGACGTAGTGGTTCTTGCAGCGAAGGAGTGACTCTGATGACTGTGACAGTAACGAAGGCGAGCGAGTCAAGCGATGCTTGCTTAGCTTGATGCTGCTAGCACCCCTTAAGATGCCTCGAGATCTCTCTCAACCCGTTTAACCCACCCTGCTCTCCCCCTTTCCTTCCCTCTCTCCCCCTCCCCTCCCTCCACCAACGCACTGCTTCACCCCTCCAGCGGGGGAGGGTTAATCTGGAGCAGGCGGTACTGGTGGCAGGCATGGTGCTTCTCCGTCCCTTCCTCCCCCCCGTTCATTCCCCCCCCTTACCCCCAACCCCCCCTCCCGCCCCCGCTCCTTCCTCCCCCACACACTTTCTCACTCTTCTAGCGGTGGAGGGTTATCTGGAGCAGGCTTTACTGTCGGCAGGCATGATTCTTCCCAGCAACTTCGGGGATTTGGCCAAGATTGGGTGGAGCAGGAGCAGCAGGACGGACAAGGGGGTGAGTGCATGGCAGGGTACTGCATGGTGTTTTTTGGGGGTTTCGGGTCTATTGTTGAACTTCTACCACGCAGTCTGGCCATGATTGGCTGGAGCAGCAGCAGCTGCTCGGACAAGGGTGTGACAGCAGGGTTTTACACGGGGTGTAAGGTTTGAAGTTCAGTCGGTTAGGGTGGAGCCCGCCGTTATTCTGGCCAAGATGGTTGGCAGGAGTAGCAGGACAGACAAGGGGGTGAGTACCCCGGTGTTACATGGGTTTGGGTTTCGGGTTTTGTGTTGAGGGGAAGATCGGGTGGAGCACGAGCAGCAGGACGGACAAGGGGGTGAGTACTTGCAAGGGCTGTGTGAATGAGTGGGCGAGTGAGTTAGTGAGTGCGTGAGTGAGTGAGTGAGTGAGTGCGTGCATGAGTGTGTGTGCGTGGTTGAGATTGGGTTTTGAGGCGCCTCAAAGCTAGCATGCGTGTGTGTGTGTGCGTGGTTGAGATTGGGTGAAGCAGTAGGACGGACAAAGGGGTGAGTGCAGGGTGTACACAGGGGTTTATGGTGCAGGCAGGTCCTCCATTCAGTCTGGCGAAAATTGGTTGGAGCAGGAGCAGCAGGATGGACAAGGGGGGGGGTGAGTGCTTGGAGGGTGCGAGAGCAACAAGATGGTGGCGCATACTCTCTAGAATACATGGAGGACACTGATTTTGGTGGTGAACTGGTGCTCAGTGAACAATAAACAAAGAGACGTTGGGCGCCTTGGGATACAAGCCAGGAGGTCATTCCTTGGAATGTGAATGAGGATGTGGAGGAACGTGCTCGTGGGCTGTACCATTTGACCCTTGCCATTGCTTCCTTTTCTGATTACTCCCTTCCTCCTCCCCCTCAGGTGCACTCAGTGGCCTCAGTGGTATCGGTCAAGCTGGAGCTGCCAGAGAGTCGAATCACCTGCGACTCACCGCCGACTCACCTCTTGGCACCCCCAACCCCACTCACCTCTTGGCACCCCCAACCCCACTCACCTCTTGGCACCCCCAACCCCACTCACTCACCACTTACCCCCAATCTCCTCCCCTCCCCCTCAGGTGCACTCAGTGGCCACAGTGGTATCTGTCAAGCTGGAGCTGCCAGAGAGTGCGTTTCACAAGGGTCAAGAGCGGCAGCAGGAGGAGCGAGCGGGTCTGGCACTAGCTGACGCCATCAACGCGCATCTGCCTCTTACCATCCGAGTCTTTGGTGCCGTGCCCGTTACCAAGTAAGCACGTTTTCGCAAGTCACTGAGTCCTGTGCACGCCACAGCATAACACCAGCAGCAGCAGGAGGAGGAGCTAGCGGGTCTGGCAGCAGCTGGTGCCTTCAACGCTCATCTGCTTCCCACCATCCGTGTCTTTGGTGCCGTGCCCAGCGGTAAGTGCAAGTCACTGCCCGCTGAGCTGCTATAAGTCCAAGTCTCCGCCGGCTGAGCTGCTGTGCTTAAAGCCAAGGACCCAAGTTTACCAACTGTAAAACAGTTGGTTGGGGCTAAAACTACTGATTGGCCGGCGAGCTGTAGGCACCGGTGAAATCGCCTGCGAGTGTTGCAATTCACGCACCCTCACGACACCCTGGTTTTTCCCAACCAACTGTAAAACACTTGCCCCAGGTTCTAGAATCTTGGGTCCCTGGCTTTAAGGAGGGGGCGATTGAAATGTGCATGATTCTTCCTGGTCACACCCCTTTCCCGCTCCACTTGAGGGCGTTTTTAGCCAGAAGGGCGTGCATGAGGAGGGGCGTTTTTAGCCAGAAGGGCGTGCATGAGGAGGGGCGTTTTTAGCCAGAAGGGCGTGCATGAGGAGGGGCGTTTTTAGCCAGAAGGGCGTGCATGAGGAGGGGCGTTTTTAGCCAGAAGGGCGTGCATGAGGAGGGGCGTTTTTAGCCAGAAGGGCGTGCATGAGGAGGGGCGTTTTTAGCCAGAAGGGCGTGCATGAGGAGGGGCGTTTTTAGCCAGAAGGGCGTGCATGAGGAGGGGCGTTTTTAGCCAGAAGGGCGTGCATGAGGAGGGGCGTTTTTAGCCAGAAGGGCGTGCATGAGGAGGGGCGTTTTTAGCCAGAAGGGCGTGCATGAGGAGGGGCGTTTTTAGCCAGAAGGGCGTGCATGAGGAGGGGCGTTTTTAGCCAGAAGGGCGTGCATGAGGAGGGGCGTTTTTAGCCAGAAGGGCGTGCATGAGCCGCACCGACCACTGCCTGCTGCTTGCTGAGGAGGAGGAGGAGGTGACTGAAATGTCCATATTCCCTCCTTTTCACTCCCCCTCTCCCCCACCCCTCCCCCCCCCCCCCCTCTCACTGCAGGACCTGCTCTTCCAGAAGGGCGTGCATGAGCCGCACGTACCACTGCCTGCTGCCTGCTGACCTGCTGCTAATGGCACTACTCTCTCCTCTCCCCCCCCATCCTATGCTCCTTCCCCCCCCTCCTATGCTCCTTTCCCCCCCTCCTATGCTCCTCCCCACCCCCTCCTATGCTCCTTCTCCCCCCTCCTATGCTCCTCCCCCCCCCTCATTGCAGAACCTTCTCGCACCCAGCACCACCTGCTGCCTGCTGACCTGCTGCTAATGGCACTACTCTCTCCTCTCCCCCCCCATCCTATGCTCCTTCCCCCCCCTCCTATGCTCCTTTCCCCCCCTCCTATGCTCCTCCCCACCCCCTCCTATGCTCCTTCTCCCCCCTCCTATGCTCCTCCCCCCCCCTCATTGCAGAACCTTCTCGCACCCAGCACCACCTGCTGCCTGCTGACCTGCTGCTAATGGCACTACTCTCTCCTCTCCCCCCCATCCTATGCTCCTTCCCCCCCCTCCTATGCTCCTTTCCCCCCCTCCTATGCTCCTCCCCACCCCCTCCTATGCTCCTTCTCCCCCCTCCTATGCTCCTCCCCCCCCCTCATTGCAGAACCTTCTCGCACCCAGCACCACCTGCTGCCTGCTGACCTGCTGCTCATGGCACTACTCTCTCATCTCTCTCCCCCCCCCATGCTCCTTCCGTGCCCTCCCCACACAGAACCTTCTCAGCCAGAAGGGCGTGTGTGAGCCGCACCTACCACTACCTGCTGCCTGCTGAGCTGCTGCTGCTGAGGAGGGGGAAAGGGCCAGAATGCATGGAAGAGAGGGTGGGAGGCGGAGGGGACGAGGAGGCAAGTGAGGGAAAGAGAGCGGGGACACGGGAAAAGGGTGAGCACGAGGAGGGGGAGTTGAAGAGACGGCTCGAGGAGTTTCGGCAAATTCTGAACACGTTTGAGGTGAGCAGATCCTTGGACATCTTCCAGTGAGCGCGGCGTCAGTAGACAGGTAAGCAAGTAGAAAAAAGCAGTTAACTATAAAAGTGCTTATGTAAACGTGAGATCGGAGTGGTCGGAGCTCTTCTCTTAACAACCAATTAAACAGGCGACAAACATGTTTCGGCCGCAGGGCCGACCCTAGCGACAAACATGACAAACATGACAAACATGGCAAACATGACAAACATGGCAAACATGACAACGTGTTTCGGCCGCAGGGCATACCCTAGCGAGCCTTCATCTGTGTCAATGAGAAAGTATGTGCAAAGCAAAGCTTCTAAGTAGAAACTAAGCATCCAACCGAACCGAACTCAATGTAATCTTCACCCTGGTCAACCCAAAATATCGGGGACCAATCCAGGCCAACCTGGCAAAAACCAAGGGGCCACGTCTTCAAACCTCGAGGGTGTCTTGAAAAGTAGTTGAACTCGAGTCTTTGCCAGTTGGCAGCTTCGGAAGCCGTGCGCGCACCAAACGCTTTGATAAGCTACACCCAATTTTCCAAGCAATGAAAAACCTCTCTATGAATAAACCATGCGTGAGGAGTCTACTTTTGAGGCGCCTCAAAACACGTGTGAGGTGAGAAGAGGTGTGGTGTGTCTGCGGTGACAATAGCACGAGGATCCAATCCAGGAACGCTCATGCAGAGGTGTGGGAGTTGAAGAGATGGCTTGAGGAGTTTCGGCAAATTCTGAGCACGTTTGAGGTGAGAAGTGGTGTGGTGTGTCTGCGGCTTCTCACTGAACTCCAGACCCTGGAGGGACTCGAGAGTCTCCCCGGTCGCTGAACCCCTTTTTGAGGTGAGAAAACTTTGTGTGTGGAGTGACAATCTCACATCCTGGGGCAAAGGAGGAGAGCGCTAGCACGCCTTTCACATCTGCACATTGAAGCGCCTCTGCCGAGCAGCGCCGTCCTGTTGCTGACACTGCATTACCGTGTTACCTCCCCTGTATTCCCTGCCTATCCCCAGGGCAAGCACGCCTTTCACAACTACACTAAGAGGCGCATCTATCGCGTGCGGAAGGAGAAGAAGAGGGAGGAAGAGGAGGAAGAGGAGGAAGAGGAGGAGGAGGGGGAGGAGGCCAGTGGAAGTGGTGGTGATAGGAGACTGAGAAGTGGAGGGGCGTGGGGGAGAGGCAGGGGGAAAGGAAATAGGACGAGAGGGGATTCAAGAGAGACAATAGATGGAGATGCGATGATGACTAGTGGGGACGAAGGGGAGAGGACAGGGGATCATTTCTCAAGTAAGGGAGAAGGGGAGAAAGAAGGGTGGAGTGGGGTGAGAAGTGGTGGGGAGGGTCGGACAGGTGGAGATTCAAGAGAGGGGGAGGGAGACGCTTTTGTGGCCTTGAAGAGGGGGATTGAGGTGGATGAGAGGGAGGTTGAGGTGGATCAGAGGGAGGCTGAGGTGGATCAGAGGGAGGCTGAGGTGGATCAGAGGGAGGTTGAGGTGAAAGAAACTTCTAGAAAAGGGGGGAAAGAGATTGCTGAGAACGAGGTGGGAAAACCACAGGATACACTTGAAGGTCGAGTGGGAGGAGAGAGAGGAGCGGAGCCAGAGATGGAGGGGCTGGATAGAGCGGGGAGGAAGGCGGTGTGGCTGCATGAGACGGACCAGACGGACAAGATCAGCACGGCACACTTTCGAACCATTGACACGTGCACAGTGCTGCTGTGGATAGAGGAGGGCAACTTGAAGGAGAGGGCTGAGGGCACTTTCTGGATTGAAGAAGAAGAGGAGGAGGAGGAAGAGGAGAATGGGGAGGGGGGAGAAGGGGATGTGGGACAGCAGCGGCGGCGGCGATTCGTCCGTGTTGTGATCCGGGGAGAATCGTTCATGCTGCACCAGGTGGGAGGAGGGATAAGGCGGTGAGTGGGGGGGGTTGTCAGGAGGAGGAATAGGAGGAGGAGGAAAGGGCGACGATTCGCCCGTGTTGTGAGCCGGGGAGAGTCGTTCGTGCTGCACCAAGTGAGGTGGACGGAGGGTGAGACTGGAGGTGAGGTGGGGGGAAGGGAAGGTTGGAGGGTGAGGGGAAGTAGTGTGTTGGTGGTGTGACCAGCCGGGGAGAGTCTTTCATGGTACACCAGGTGGGAGGAAGGGGGGGCTTTTGAGTCGACTCAAAAGCAGGCGGCGACAATTCGTCCGCGTTGTGATCCGGGTAGCGTCCCTCTGACCTGGGGAGAGTCGTTCATGCTACACCAGGTGGGAGGAAGGAGGGGGGGGGTTGTGTTGTGTCGTGTCGTGTCGTGTCGTGTCGTGCCATGCCGTGTCGTGTCGAGGCCCGCTTTGACACGCCACCTCACGCCGTGCTCCCTCCCCCCCCCTCCCCCCTTCCCCCCCCCCGTATCTATCTCTCAGATTCGCAAGATGGTGGGAACAGCATTAGCAGTGCTGCACGGGGTGTTCCCCGCTGCCAATCTCCTCCCCTCCCTCGCCCGCCACTCGCGGATCATGCTGCCCCTCGCACCTCCCAGTATGCCTTAACGCCCTTCTCACTCCCTTTTTTTTTTCCCTCAACTCTCAGATTCGCAAGATGGTGGGAACAGCGTTAGCAGTGCTGCATGGAGTCTTCCCCTCCGCCATGCTCCTCCCCTCCCTCGCCCGGCACTCGCGAATCGTGCTGCCCCTCGCGCCGCCCCAAGGCCTCCTATTGGCCGACTGCTCTTTCATGCCGTTCCGGGGCCCGAAACTGCCCGGAAATAAATTGTCCGCTGCTCAAGATTCAACTGCCCCAGATTCATCTGCCTCAGATAGTCCTGTTCCCCTAAAGACTGACTCGATAGACAGGATTAAGCAGCAGCAGGCGCGGATGCTGTACACGCAGTGGCACACTCCCTCCCTGACACAATTCCCCAACTTGCCACACCATAGCGCCACCACCATAGCACCACCACCATCCTCCCCCCCATCCTCCCCCCCATCCTCCCCCCAATCCTCCCCCCCATCCTCCCCCCCGTCGCTCTGCATGTCCGCTGCTGTGTGCCAGAGAGTAGATGCCTTCTCGCAGCAGCACGCGCTGCCGGAGATGCTGCACTCTCTGGATGCGCAGGGGGAGCCGTGGAAGGGGTGGGTGGAGAATCTGCATGCGTACGAGTGGGTGTCACCAGAGGAGGAGGAGGAGGTGGTGCAGGCGTTTACCAAGTGGCAGCAGGGCAGGGCAGAGAGAGGGTACTGAGGCCTCGATGTTGTAGGAGAGGTGAGGGGAGCCCTGGAGCAGTTGGGTGGGGAACCTACACGGCTACGAGTGGGTGGGGGGTAGGAGGAGGAGGAGGTGGTGCAGGCGTATACCAAGTGGCAGCAGGGCAGGGCAGATGGGGTTGCTGCTGAGGCTGTTGAGGGGGTTGCTACTGAGACTGGCATGTGAGAGGGTGGTGTACAAACTGCTGCTCACTCATGCGTGATAAATGGGTCCATGAGGAGAGGAGGTAGTGCAGGCGTTTCAGTTATTATAACCATAGCTACAATTTAAGGTATTACACTTATCAGTTATTTCTGAGCAGCTGTTCAATGGGGTTAGCATGTTGTGTCCACCACTTCACTGGTGTATGATTGTCAATTTCAAATGGTATGTACACGACTGCCATATCGCATTCACTGTATATACGCATTACTCTACACAGCTACAGCGCCTTGTGGCACTGATGACCAGGACCTACCTAGTGTGCAGAAGCTTGGCTGGTGGAATCAGGAGTTACTTTATTTGCCTGACAGATGCCCAGCAGCGCAGTATATTGTAACGAGGTTGCTCAAATGTTAGCTGATAGTGCAGCGACTCCCCCCAATCTCGAAAGTGTAGGCTGCTCCAGTCGCTTTGGGGAGGGGAGTCGCCAAGCAGTGTCTGAGAATATTTACTGGCACGGGGATTCGAACCCTGCACTTAGGCTCACGTGCCTGCGGAGAGATGCATTCGCAAGAGCGGCAACACGCGGGGAGGCAGCGGAAACCGTGCGCGGAGTAAGCGGAGGCTGTCGCGCGCCTGCCGCGGCAATGCGCGGAGATCCGTGCTGCAGAAGACCAGGCGATTGCGGAAGGGTGCGCGGAGAAGCGGATCCACAAGCAGGTGCGCGCGCGGAAGCGTGGCGCGGGGATCTGTGCCGCGGAGAGCCGCGCAATCGGGAAGGGCTGCCGTGAAAGGCGAATCCTCCGTGACCCTGCACGCAGGGGGAGCACGATGCGGGCTCGTCGTAGAAGCTAAGATCGTCCCTCCAGCTTTGGCTGACAGCCGTCGGATCAACATCCAGCGACATATGCCGGAAAAGCTTCCGCGATTCGCGCCTCGATCGATCCAGCGGCTCGATGCTGCTCCGCGACGACCTCGACTCGGCGGCACCAGCGGACTTCGCGGCGGATTTCGCGGCGGGTTCGGCGGCGGCTCCGACGGCGTCTTCCTGCTCGGCGCGCAGCGTGGATTGGATCATCTCGATGAAGCCTTGGCATCGGACGGCTGAGAGCTCTCGCTGGATCTGCAGCAGGTGGAGCTTGCCTTCCAGCGCCGCCATTTCGACCGCGCCTACCGTGCTCCGAATCGCGGTCGACGGCGCGAATTCGACCGCAATATTCTGCGATGGTTGTACGTGAGGTCTAACGGCAATGGCTGTGTGCGAAGCCATCGAAAAATGCTGGCGAATCGCCCGAATAAGACTACTTCAGATGGGAAACCCGGACGTGCTTATTGTTCGAAATGTGGCGGGTAAGGCCGAGCCTAAGGGGGGCTTGCATCCAAGGTCCGAACAGGCATCTCTTCAGCAATTCCAGCAGATACTCTGAGAGGCAAAGATGCTCGCGCAGCAAAGTCTGGTCTCTCAACTCGAGGTACGGAGTTCTCAAACAAAAACGTGGGATTTATGATTGTGGGAGTGAAAGTGGGTGTGGGGGGCAGGGGGCTCCACTCGACTTGCCAACAAACCTCAGCAGGGAGTGAGGGGGAGGATTTGGGGAGACAGACAGCCGCACGCGGTACCGTCGTGGGGGACACGCCACCAGCGGCAAGTGGGACTGGCGGAAGAAGGCGAACAGCCTGTTCGGCTCGGCAGGGGAGGGGACTGCAGGTGCGCCGAGCCATTTCTGTCGCAAGGCGGGGAAGAATGAAACACTGCGGAAGGGGATCCCGGGAAGGAATCCAGCTTCCTTTCGGGGGCAGGTGGGGGTGTGGACGAATGACAAAGCTGATCGGAGACGCCAGGTCAGCCAAAAAGATCCGCACAAGCTTCCCAAGCTCTGCGCCTACCGTAGATGGAGCGAAGGAGCGACGAGTCGCGAGTCGTGTTCGCGCTGCGGCACAAAGCATGGTGGATGCCAGGAATCTGGTCGGTGACAGGTTTCTAGGGGGGGTTATTGAACGTTACGGGGCATGATCCGACACGTGTCACCATCAATCAACGGAAGGTGGCCTGGCCGGGAACGAACCTCTCATCACTAGCCTTGTCATGATCGTAGGGCTCAGAGATAAGCCGTGTGGTGCTCAGCTCAGCAAGAGAAACGCTTCCGTTTCCATTGCGTCAGGTCAGGTCAGGTTTGCTCCTGCTGAGCTTCTCAGATTCGTCGGTCGTCCACCCTTGCCGACTTGTCAAGCTTGCTCCATACGACTGTGCGACAGAAGCGAGTGAGATTGCGACATTGGCAGCTTTGTGAGAGCCTCGAGGAGAATTCGAGGAAGGTGGGACAAGGAACGAATTTACCCGTCAAACGTCCCCACAGATGTAACTGCCAGGACAAATTCATTGCTGGTTGTCAGTGATGATGTTGCACAGCACAAGCAACGGCGAGGGAAGAAACCCACGAGGTCAGCCCCGCCCTCTGCCCGAACAGTGAACGGTACAAACGAAGCTCGTAAGAGTTGCACAGGAATTGAGGGTGTCGAAGATGTAATCGCGCAAGAAATCGCATGCCCTCGCCTCGGGCAAATGAGGCTTTCGCTCGAACACACGGTGAAAGGGTGGGTATTTGTGGTGGTTTGGATAGCGATGTTTGTTGCCAGCATGCGACTCTTGTGACACGATCAGGCGACAGCGGTGCACTATTCCGTGGCGACGAAATCAGGTCGGCTATGACTTGTCCCATGCTTTATGTTGGTCGCAGCCTCAATCTTGACACGTCGTAGAGGGACTCAAACGGATCTCCTATTGTCCGTATATTGGGGGTTTTTGGGATGCGATTCTGATTGGGCATCGTTTGTACTGTGTTTGGCTGGAGCCGTACGGTAGAGTACGAACAAAACCAAAAGTGGCCAGGTAATGTAGAGATGTTGTTTTTGGCTTACAAGGTCGAACCACCACGTTACGCGAGTGCCCTGAACAGCTCTGGTGCTCAGGGCTCCCTTCGAATTTCACCCTGAAAACTCAGGATCCGAATCTGAACTTCTCGGAGTCACGTGTGTTCTAGGGCTGTGACGGAAGCACTCCTTCCCAACTACATTAATGCCCTGGTAGCCGGGTCCTAGGAAGAGGAAAGGGTGTTAGGGAGTGGAGGGAGAGTGTGGGAAGTGGGAATGATCAAGGTCGCTAAAAACTCTACTCGGATTTTCCAGGGTCGCCTTGAGACCTTTCCGGATTTTGTCAGGGCTGGGTGAAAAAGAACCCGGAGAAAATCAGGGCTGGTACAAAAACTACCTTCGAATTTCAGTCAAGTCAGGGCAACTGCCCTGATAATTTATGCCTTGCCCTTATTCACATTTCTTGTTCACAACCAATCGTGTAACTGGATGAGGAAGGCTTCTGGGCAGCATAATCTTCCCACACATGTTGCTCCCCACGTGTCGGGAGCACAGAAACGACGCTGTGTCAGCTCCCAGGCACAATCCCAATGTCCCAAGCATGGCACAGGTCTAAAGTAGAATTACCCGGTCAAAAGATGAGTAACTTTGGGTTGGATTCCGGAATTTGAACGGGTAATATTTCCCTGGAACCCAGAATTTATACAAGGGGGCGAGGGGCATTCTCTAGACGAATCAAAATTTCCCCAGGGAGTATTCCGAATGACCCCGCCAGAGGGACAGCCCCCCCCTCCACCCCCTTCAATTCTATGTATTCCCCCTTTTGGCGCAAAAAATCGAAGTCCGTAACAGACAGAGACATTCCTCCCACATCCAACTAGAAATTTTTTACGAAGTCCCACTCAGCCAGAGACATCACTTCTACATCCGTTGCAACCTCGAAATTTTTGTCAGGTCCCACACAGCCCTAGACATTCGATAGCCTACGAAATTTCGGCCAAGTCCTCACGGCCAGAGACATTCGACCCATACCATTCTACAGAAAATCAGTCTTAAAGCCGTTGACCCAAAACGTACAAGATTAATAAAGATGAACCAGGTAAAAAGTTGAGCTGGAGAAAGGACACGGGCGTGAAGGAGTGGTGCGAGCGTGGCGAGTGTAAGGAATTAGTAATTCCTTACTGAGGCTTGCTACAAGGCGTACGACTCGAAAAGTCCCGAACCATCGAAATAGACCTATCATTTCGAGCCTCCTGGTCCTTTCCGGACCTCGCTTCGACACATCGAGGCCCTTCGACACTTTTCCCGAACCTTCCGATCCTACGTCTAGGATCACCCTAGGCTTTCTATATATTGTTCTTCTTTCATTTTATTGTCATTCACTCGTTCACAGTTTTGCTATTGCCCTCCGCGCTACTCGGCAGTCCCATTGATAACAGCGAGAGTGGGCAAACACAGCACACTACGAAACCCAATCAGAATGAGCATACAAATTAAGATACAACCAAAACGTTCGCAAACAACGATAGGGGGAAATCGAGGGTGGGGAAAAGGAAAGTGGGGGCGCGCGCAAGGCGCAGGGGAGAGGGGGGAAGAATACCTGGTAAGAGCGGCGTACGGCACAGCGTGGAACACTAGAAACAGCGAGAAGGAAGGGCATGTGACTCTGGGTTGCGCATCCTGGCCGAGTTGCGCAACTCGATTTGCGCATAGCAATGCGTGGTACACCTCATATCACGAGTATGTCTTCAAACTCAAATTCGAACAGCTGATGCGGTTGTAGACAATTAGACTGTTTTCAACGCGATCAAGAAGGCTCGATAAGATATATATATATATATATATATATATATTGCGAGTTCAAGTCGCGTACCTCACTTGAAACGATTTGTACCGCGCCCTAATAAAAATTGGCGTGTGCTGTGCACGGTGCTTTCGCTGCCTAGGGCGTAGTGACGCAGGGTTGGGTTTGCACTTCGAAAAGTCCCAAAATGTATGGGGGGAGTTAAAGTTTCTTTCCGCTCAAACGCCTGGTGTGGCGGGGGCATAGGCATAATCAGCTGAGGGTGGCGCACGATTATAGACTGTTTTCCGTCGTTTTGTTGCGCAACTTTCGTTTTTGCTCTCGCTCTGGGGAACTGGGTTACCAATCGGGGGGTTTCAAGATTAATAAACTTGAAAGGCAATTTCTGCAATTTGGGTCAACGGTTTTAAGTACCTCACAGCCCAAAACATCTCCTGCACGCTTCTTACTCCTCTCCTAAGGGTGTGTCCCAAAAAATCGTTTACCCGTTTTTGATACGCAGAGCCGTTTGACGGTACGCAATGTGAATCGATTTTGAAACATATTCCGATTTGGGAACATGTCCGAAATGAAGGGTACAGTTCGAAAGGACAGCACCGAGACCAGCACAGACATAGGAGGGGGAAACGAGGTCCCGCCATGCGAAACCCGCGCGATGCGCGTCTACCAAAATGAGGGCCAATCGGCGCAGCGGGGGAAGGTTCTTCGCTAGCGACGTGCGAGGTTGCAAAGTGTCGCTAGAGAATTTCGCTAGAGGTGGTGCTGGTACTGGTTGGCAAACGGGATTTTTGTGTGGTCTATTTTTGTCGTGCAGAGGTACCTGGAAACGTGCGCTGGTGTCCGCTAATTTCGGGTGTGAGCTGGCCTTGTCTTGTTCAGGCATGTTATGATTACACACCTAAAAGTGGTAACTGAACTCGGTGTTGAACATGGCACGTACTTTAGTGGCACGCCCTAAAACTTTGTCGGAAGTGCACAAAACAGTACTGGTGAGAACGGGGTTCGGGAAAATTATCATTGTTGCCAACAGAGTTGGCAGAGAAGGTACTCTGCCAAACATGGGTTGGCCTTACCCATTTTGACCCGTGGTAGTAAGAGCCTTCCTAGCCTGTAGGGTGATTCGTAGAAAGTGTCTGGCTCTGTAACACAAAGCCATGGACGGCTAAGATAAGTACACGTCAGCACATTTACTGATGCGTAGCGATCTAGGCTGTCGAATCTCTGACCTGAAGTAATGTGACACTTGCAGGGAAACCTTGAGTACTTATTCCTCCGGTAACCATTATCGGGGCTGCTGACGTCAGCAGTCACACATATGGCGCGATCCTAACCATCAGATCGACTTCGCCCTTGCGTGGCACCAATTATCCCTAGATGGTCACAAAATATATGTGGTGCCCCAACGAGGTACCAATCATCCATGAATGGTAACAAACAGTGCGCGACAAATTCCTTATTGGTAACCCATCGTTTCAACAATTCCGACCTGTAGCCGCATTGTCAGTTATGCGTTATAGGAATGTCTCTTGCATGAATATTATTCGTGAAACCAATATGATTACTACTATAGGCATGAAATATATACATTTGCTAATTATTACAATAACATTTAATCAGCTACGTTCGAGAAACTCAGTATAAAATATTCAAGAACATCAGTTAGGTGCTATAATATAATTAGGGCTATGTGTGTAAAATACTAGTATCAATATTACATTATCGTTAATATTGAAAAAGGGAGCACTTATGTATATTTTTGCCAATACAACTAAGTTGCATTGTTGAGGCGTC